GGAGACAGTCCTCCACAAAATTCTCCAACGTGAGTCCTTCCCACAGGCTACAGTTCTTCATGAACTGCTCCAGCGTGGGTCCATAATTTCCATGGGATGCAGTCGCTCCGGAGGAGATTGCTCCAGCATTGGGCACCCTGCGGGGTCACAAGTTCTGCCGGCAAACCTGTTTTGGCATGGGCTCCTCCCCCATGGATCCACAAAGTCTTGCCAGGAACCTGATCTGGCACAGGCTTCCCACAGGGTCACAGCCTCCTTCCTTCGGACATCCACCTGCTCCAGCGTGGGGTCCTCCACAGGCTACAGGTGGATATCTGCTCCACTGTGGGCCTCTGTGGGCTGCAGGGGGACAGCCTGCCTCACCATGGTCTTCACCACAGGCTGCACGGGAATCTCCACTCTGGCACCTGGAGCATCTCCTCGCCCTCCTTCTTCATTGACCTTGGTGTCTGCAGGGCTGTTTTCTCTTGCATCCTCTCCCCCAAGACCTTGCTACAGAAACCCAATACAGGCTGACATTGTACAGTCTAGTTTCCTGCTATGTTTTCTTTTTCTTGGCTGCACTACCTTCCAGTCCAGAATTGTTTTCATTTCTTATTACCATCCTTAGCTACCTAATTGTGCTACTAATGAATAAAAATAATCCAAGCATCAGGCTTTTACAGACCCACTTCAATGTACAAATAATGGTTTGTTGTGTAACCACTGATTATGGGAGAAGGTAACTCACATTATGGAAAATATGTGCTGAAATGTTGTTGATGGGGAAAACGCTGAATTCTGTAGTCCGCCTTTTGAATTATGGAGATGTATTGTCATTTTTGTTCCATCAGGTTGTCCATGATGAGTAAAGCCCAGTTTTTAAGCACATGTACTTACATTTGGAACTTCAATTTCAAATTTTTGAGTGCTCGTATTAGCACTATAGCACATGAAATACATAGCTGGCTACCAAATTGCCTATTCAAGTGCACATATATAGGTTTTGAGCACTCAACATTAAGCATCTGCATTTCAAAATTGGATCCCTTGTGCTTGAAAGCCTTGAAAATGCTACTCAATGGTCAGCCTAGTGCAGCATCAATTGAAATGCAGTTTGAATGCAATGTAGAGCTTCCAATTGCTGCTTCAGAAAGTGTTATGCTGAATCTGGAACACTTTGCATAATTTAATTAATTATGCCACTAAAACCTGATTTTCTCTCAATTTAAAGCAAACAGCTTTTATGAGGGTGAACTGCAGCACCCAGGGATATCAGGTGTCCAAGCTTTTAATCCTATTACAAAGACTTGACAACCACTGATGGAAACTGGAAAAACATAAGCCTCCAGCAGGGCAACAAGTGAAGAGGAAGAAGGCAACAGATTTTTAATACTCTTTGAAACCACTGTACGCATTAAATCAAAATCAAATGTAAAAAGTGACAGAACTGGTAGCTTGCACTTAGTTGTGCAGACGGTGAGTAGTGCCTAAGGAATAACACTTATTTCGCTTTGACATTAATGAAAATAACTGTTTCCTCTAAGAGGAAAATTGTTCTGCTTAACAAACATAAGAAAAACACAGCAAATGGCCAAGACTATTTGTATCTGTGTCTGTCCACTTAAAGTGTTCAGGAGTGCAACAGCCTGTAGTTTGAAAGTGGTTTCTAATGTTATGGATTGGATTCTGTCTATGACTCATTTTCCTTGTAAACAAATCTTGACAGAGGATGCCAGGGTACAAGTATTAAAGAATCTGTCTCTGACTAAACGCTAGCCTCGATACTTCGCTTTCTGAAGCTTGTCTTCTCTCTTTCAATTTATTATTTGAGTTGATATCACTCTAAAACAATAGACACGGTAATTTTGAGGCAGAAAGGAGTACTGATTTAGAAGAGCTCTAATTTGTGAGCCACATAAGCAGTGCCATAATTGGCAATGTATGACTGACCGTGCAAAATTCTGTGACCAGGTTAGGAAGGTTCACAGCAGAATTGACTCCATCTCCATATCGAACATCAGTGTGTAACATGAAATTAACTGTACTGTAGAAGATCTTGCTAATAAATAGGGAAAATGTCTTATTACTGGGAATTCGCCAGCCCTATAAAGTGCAAAAATCTTCCTTGCTTACACTATTAACAAATATTCATATAATTACTAATTTATATTTATGTATTAGGTATATTTTTATATATATATATGACATTTGAATGTCATAATGTTTTGATGGGAAAGTACAAAACAATAAGCTTAAAGGATTTGTAAAATGGCAACCTTGTTAAGAATACTATAACTTTACATGTAAATTAGAGAACATTGCTGTAACTCTGAAATACATTTTAAAAGCATAGCTTTTTATATCTCTGGTTTTTATCATGAAAAACAAATAAATGTCAAAAAAAGGAATTTTCAGTGGATGGTGAAGATGGGAGAGTTTGTAGCTACAAAACCAAGACATTCTGGCCCAGATTCATGTTACTTAAGCTATCTAAGTCTAAGCCATTTGTAAAATCTTCTGCAGTTACTGTACAGATGAAGGCATGCCCAGAGGCCATTCATTCCATTTGTCTCTTGCGGTCTTTCCCTCTTCGTTTCATTTGGGCATTACCTGATCACCAGGCAGAGCTGACTTCATCTGAATCACAGTGCAATCACACTTGTGCTAAACTAGCGAGCATAGCGGGCCTTTGCTGCCTTCACATTAGCCACAGCAGGACAGACAGTACCACCTCCAGCATGAAACTAGAGCAAGATGGACAAGCAGTGTGTGCTCCACTGCAAGATCTGCTAGAACAAAGTTCTCTCTTCAACTTTTCTTAACATGCAAAAAGTAAGATTGGGCTTGTTCCTGCTTAGTATTTGACGTTGTGTAGTCAGATTTCGGGTGGTTGTTTTTTAATAAAGCCCTAAGTTCCATAAAAACAGCTTTATTATTTTAGGGACACATGCCCTAAGATGAGCTGAGTGACCATTTGGAGCTACCTGTTTTCCGTTGCTGAATCTGCATTGACACCCACATTTTGGCTAAAATTAAATGAAGTGAACTCGCTTCTTTTGTTTAGCTCTCATTTCCAGGGTCGTATTTTTTAGTAGAAGTATATTCAAAATAAGAGAAATGTATATGTCACAGTGGCAAAAAGCAGAAAATTGGAGAAGAGAAAATTAGAAGGAAAAGAAATATTTTCCGAGCTAAGCTTTAGCTCCTTCGATTATGTATGTGTATGAAAGTAGGTTCATGGTTTTTTGAGTCTTTGGGTTTTCAAAATAAAGAAAACGTTCACTTATCAGAGGTGATGAGATTCAAATCATGTATTAACCAGCTCAACTATGTACACTGCATAAAGGTTATGACAATTTCTTGTAAAATAATAAAAGTATCTCATATAATTGATTCTTTTCATTGTTTCATAAAATTGCTTTGTTTGAGTGTGGGAGAGTTTGGACTGAATTTTCATTACCTACTTCTGAACAATTTACACTGGGATTGAGACAGTATTGAGCTAATGAGTTAGAATTTATATTGAGCCTTAACTGTCTTCATGAAGTAATTTTAGGGAAAGAAAATCATGGCAATACTGAAGTATTTTTCATTATAAACTATGTTGTACAGCTTTTACAATCAGGTTTTAATAGATCTAGAGAAATTAAATTGGAATTCTACCAACTTCTGTGCTTTTGTCATCCCACAAAAATGATGTTAAAGAATGTCAAGACTGATGTGCTAATCTTGTTTCTACTGAAGTAAGGAGGAGGTGGTATTAGTCCTGTTGGGTTTTAGGCCTTGTTGTTCGTTAAGTAGTAAGATGCATATAGAAAAACATTCAGAAATATGCACTTTTCTCTAATCCCTAATACTAAATAGAAATTGGGTATAGATTAAATAGGTCTTGTCTGATGTTATCCTAAAGTCCTTATCAAGAAAAATTCCCATGAAAACAGTAGAAACTTTCAAAGTCAGGAGGGTGAATTGTGCTCTATATGAAAAAGGAAGCAATCATATATTGCTGATGCATATATTAATACTGCTGAGAGTGCATGCATATATACATATTTATTAATATATTCAAACATTGTTTATTGATTGTATATGGTAAATAAACTCATACAATGAGTGTACAGATTACTTTGTATGTGTAAACATACATATACTCAATCTCAGCATTATACATAAATATGTACCATGAGTACTATAAGTCAACCAGTTGGAAGATTTTAAACTTTTCATTCTATGCAAATGTACACATTAATAATGTTATATGACTTTTTAGTATTGTCCTTTAGTTGTATCCTTTTGTTTAATTCTGTGGGTATTTTTTATGAGGAGGTCTGCAATAGTGAAAAAGGTTATTTCTCAAATATATGAATTACTGCTCGTCTCAACACTTTATTTGTCAACATTCTTCCTTGCTCTTAGTCTGTTCCACTACCAGAAGACTGCAGGAATCAATTAATAATCCCTTATATTTTAATTAATAATATGAAATAAAAATTGAATGTGCCAACTAGAATCGTCAGCCAAGCACATATACATGCATCTTGGTGCCTTCAATAAATTAATTTTTTACTTACTTCCTATGTTTATTTATTCACAAATACAAGAAGAAATATGAATGTAGTTTAAATTTTAATTGGCATAACAGGCAATATTTTTTTTTAGATATTTTGGAGGCAAAATATTATTTCATGTGTAAAACAAATGCCATATATACTTTTACTTGCTAAGAATGGCAAAAGTTTATTTAAAATACACATCAAACACAAACTTAATGTGAAAGAGCACAACTATAATACCTTTAGGTTTGTGTTCTAATTCCTAATTGTAAAAAGTTATCCTTACATATCTTTTTCAGAGGGTGGAAAAAAAAACAAAACAAAAGTCCTTCCCCCAATCCACATATTAAAAAAAAAAAAAAGCCACTTGCAAAAAAGGTTAAATTGCTGGCCTTGCTTGCAAATTCAGACATTAAAAATTTGGAGTCTTCCTTCATCCAAATAATATATATTCATTCCCCACAGGCAGCAGTGATGGTTCTTGGGATAAAGAAAAACTTCAGTCTCCCCCCACCCAAGGATCACAGGCCTCTGTTAACCACCCCAACTTGCCTGGACAGCATAGTGTTCCAGTTAGCCATCCTCTCAACCCTCTTCAACAGAACCACCTTCTGCCAAATGGTACGGGTTGACATCTTTCAGCACTAACATCAGCAGTTTTCCAATTCCTGTCTTTATTTTGTGTTTATATAAATAGGCTATGAAAAAAACAAAGATGTGGGGAATATTGAAATACTTCCTTTAAAGTATTAAGCAGGGGAAGCGGAGACAATAAAGAACAAAAACATATGCAATAAAATTGATACTTAAAATAACTGCTAACCTGTGCATCAGTGGCATAATAATGCATTGCTAAGGCACCTTACAGCAGATATTAAAAAAGATAATAAACAGCCATTGCTTAGCAATGATATCATACATTACACGGATATGAACAAACTAAGAGGTGTAATAGCCTCTCCTTGTGGCTAGAAACCCTCCATGGTTGCTAGTGATTTACCCATGCATATCCTGGAAGAGAACTGACATATAGCTACTTTGTCCTGCAATGTGAACCATCTTGTCACCCATCACTTGAATATTGTCCATCAGGAGAAAAAAAGACCATGTTTTAAAAAGATGCATAAACCTATTTCCTCTTTTTTTTTTTTTTTTTCCCCCACCAGGATTGGAACTTCCTTTTATGATGATGCCCCACCCATTAATTCCCGTGAGCCTACCTCCAGCATCTGTCACGATGGCAATGAGCCAGATGAATCACCTTAGTACCATCGCCAACATGGCAGCAGCAGCACAAGTGCAGAGTCCTCCATCCAGAGTTGAGACATCTGTTATTAAGGTAACTATATAAAAATAAAAGTCTAGCACACTCACAGTTGTCATAAATACTGTAAAGGTGGGTAGGTGTCAGGTGTTACAAGGTAAGTCATAAAGTCAATATATACGAGAAACCCAACTGTAGTGGGCTGTTGGCAGCCAGTGTTATCTTCTCAGTTCTCTTCCCCCTCTCTAAATAAGTTTAATACTTGAACAATGTTCAAGTTGAAGCATTTTCGTACAGAATACACAGCTTTCTGATTTCTCGTATTTCATAGTCTGTAATCAAATGGCAATGTTCCTCAAGATATCAAGGAAGAAATTATTCCTTTTTTAAATTAGAAGAGACTGCTCTTCCATCTTTTAAATCTAAGCATTTGAATTGAAATGCTGTGAATTATCTGAAGAAGGCTGAAAGGCTTGATACTAATTTGCAGAACCTAAATTGCCAAATCCCAGAACAGAATGGAATGCAGTTGCATAGAACAAACCTAGTAATCTGCAGGCCAGAACTGTAGTAATGTAGAGATATCTCAAAAATATCTGACATCTGAAATTGTCTACCCATTTGAGGTTTTGTTTACTGCCTGTAACTAAACTAATCTGCTTATAGAGGTATTTAGCAGAGGCATGGAGTCTTCTCTCCTTCTGGCTGAAGATGATCTGCTTTAATTTTAAAAGTTTCTCCCTTACCCTTATTGATAATTTGATTTGACATTTATTCAGATATCCACATTTTACCTGTTACCCTTCTTTAGTTCTAATAGGTGAGATACAGAAAGTAAACAAAACTTTTGTGCTTTTATGCAATGTTCATATGTTAGACATGCAAAGTCAAGCTTATTTCGTATTTTAGGGCCATGTGGGAAATCTGTCCAAACTCCTTTGACAAAAAATGGGTAAATTTAAAATCTCTTGGACCTTCAAATTAAGAGTTGCAAAAGTTTTGAAGTTCATGATGATTTAACCAGAGTGACTTCAGGTCTGACTTTATAGAGGCATTCAATATGCATATACTTCTGTCCTTTTTAACCTAACAAGCCGAGAATCATAAAAAACTATTCAGTTAAAAGTCAACAAATCTATGTTGCTGTTGATCTAGATAAATATGGCCTGGTGACCTAATTTAGGTACCTGCACTTTCAAATGTAGGATCTGCTTTGGAGACCTTCACTGGCATCCCTTTCTCACCTTTGATGACATGGGGAGTTAAGACATTGGTTTGAGAAGAATTGGGTTTTTATATCTTCTTCTATGTCAGCAAGGCTAGATTCCACCCCTAATGTCCATCTTGGTCATATCTTGGGAATATAAACACTCTGCTGCTAAGTGTTTGATTACATGGTGATTTCTGCACCTTTGTTTTTCTGTTTTCACTTGAGCAGTATTTAGTAAGAATTACATGATACTAAAGTACTCTGGAACGTACATGGTGCTCTATTTCATTCTAAATTTATTTCCTTAATTGGAACAGTGACCACTGGTATTACAGAGGTATCTAAAAAATGAAGATTGGGATGGAGCACATGCTAAATGGCACCTGACAAGTATGAATTTCTATGGCAACAAAACTTTGTTTTCACTAATTTTCCTTCTGTTTTCCCTTCTTTATTTTTCTGTGAGCTAGTTGATTTCATATGTAAGAGTACAACATTTGACCTTCATGAGCATTGGTGACCTTCTGTTTCTAAACTTTGACAAGCTGACTTCTAGCTTTTCAAAAAGCCACTGTTTTACAATCTAGTTCTAACTATTAAAGTTGCCTAAATTCCTGTGGCCTACATTTAAAGATGTCTATGGGAGCATACCGCAACGTAACCTCTGATCTTTGTCTTCAGTTACCAAAAGCAGGTACATTTGAAGTACAACATAGCTCCTAGGCTATGTAAAAAGGGTTTTCTTTTGTGGAAAGCAGGTCCTGGTGTGTTCACAGATCTCATCCAATTGTGGGAACATTGCTGGATCCAGGAAGCAGTTAACTGAGAAGTACTCCTGGCTCATCTGATATAAACCTGTCTAGTTAAAAGTGTTAGACCATGAAAGGGAGACTCTGTCAACATGTAACTAATTATTTTAACCATAGGCAGTGCCATACCAGAAAATTTTCCTTATCCCGGAATTCCTTAACTTCTTAACAAGTTCACTCTTGCAGCTCGTCTAGTTGGAAAGATAGTTTTGTTATAATCTAGGGGAAGATTTTGAAAGTACCTAGCAATTTTGGTTCCCTGTTTGAAACATTTTAGCAGCACTTTGTAACGGGAAATTTTTTTTTTTTTCAAAATCTTGCTTATATAGGCATTTGTTTGTATTAATAATCTACACTATCTACCTCTGCCATTTCTGAAAATTCAACTATCCCATATTCATGCTAATAAAATCTTCATCATAGCTTCCAACTTTTGCATAGCTCCTGGCATAACATCTTGTGCAAGTTATTTAATAAACCAGGTTTTCTCTTCTCATCTGATTTGCACATAACCATAAATTAAAAGATGTGGATTTACAGTGAAGTGGTTTTAAATGGCCAAATTAACCTAAGTTCTGTTTAGAAAAGTGTGCTCACTCAAGGGTAAAATATAAATTTTTTGAAGTTTGCATGATTAAGTTGGAGTTTTGAGGCATTTATGTAGAACCTGATGGAGACACTACCTAAGTGTTACTGTGACTTCTTCAGCCAAGGCCTGTGACATATTGCCCACAATACCTTTGTTCTACAGGTAAATACATAAACACAAGTGTTAATCTGCCATCAAAATGACTTCTAAATGTAAGATCTTGCTGCACATAGTTATTTCAATAATACTGTAAGGGCTAAGGAACTCACTCTTACAGGACTGTCCTACTATCTCCTTCAGCCCCATTGTGGTACAATGTATGTCTAGATTTACATCCTCTGGTTTTGGCTATGGCGGATGAATATAGTCATGTGGGTAGAGATAGCATGGCCAACTAATTATGTTCCTATTTTTTAATACTGCACAGGATCAAAACATAAACCCCAGCAACATAAAAGTATGAGGTCATTGTTAGGGGGATTTTCTTCCCATGAGCATGGACATAATGTCACTGGCAATTTACCTGTTCCTCACTAGGCGTAGTCAGAGGCTGTGATTTTAGTGTCCATTGAATTATACACACTGAGTAGTTGAGCAGGAAACTCTCTAATCAGCAAACTTTTTGAACCTTTTATTGGCAATGTAAAGTTTATGAATTATAAATTATACTACAATCAAAATAAATATCTTAGAGAATAGATGTGAGTGAGAAGGTCAAACCTCCTTTTTCTTTATTTTTACAGGAATGAATAAATAGTGCAGTTGCTGTCTTTCACAAAACTGTTATTAGAATCACATCTTCCTTTTTCTTACTGTAACATTTTTAGACTTTTGGGGTTTGTTTTCATTATCTTCTGGCTCATTTTTTTAACCCTAATTTTACTTAAATACTTTTCCTCAGTGACAATGTTTCCAGAAGTTGATTTGAAAAGTTTGTAAATCACTCATCTTGGAGTTCATAGTTGTAACCTGAAATGACAGTGTAGATTTGAAATTAGAGTACAGGATGTTTACAAGTTTAAACTCTGCTTGAAAGTTAGAAGACCTATGAGAAATTTCTACTCTGAAAAGTAAATCAATAGTAACCTTATCCAATTAAATAACAAAGAACAAAATTAAGTCTTAGAAAGTCTGAGTCTTCAGATTATAAACAACCTGGTTCATTGGAGAGAAGAATTGCCTTTGTGAGCGGTGCCACAGTCGATGACTTGCTGACCTTTCCTTCCAATTCACTGAGTTCACAGTTAGTGCTGTTATCTTTAAACACACAAAGCTTCAAATGCCTTTCTATTACTGGGCAATAATTCATTTCTTCATGATAAGAAGTTGGAATAAAGCTGAGATCATGTACTAACGAAACATTTTATTCTGCTATGTTCCGGAGATGAGACAAAGACAAAATTGCAAGGGAAGCCTTACAAAGCAACACCTTAGATTTGGCAGTGAACTCTGAGCTCTAAAATCTTCAGAATTATATTTCAGAAGAGTGTTGTGCCCTTTTGAACATGAGACGAACATTAGATGTCTTTTTGTAATGGAATGTTTAGATATATGAGTTGGATGAATAAGAGGAGAGGAACAACAAGCAGGGACAGCAGATTGTGACAGCAATGAATTGCAGTGAGTGTGACAGCTGTGACCTGGGGATGCTTTAGACATGAGGTGGCTTTCATCACCTGCCCATGGTTTCAAAGGCTCAGCTTGTTAGCAGTTTCACTACATAATTTTTTTCACTCAGCAGAAAGATATATGAAAATATAAAGGACATACCTCATATTAATAGCAACTTGAAATAATTCTACATTGTAAAAGTTAGAACAGAGCAGCATGCCAGCATCAAAAATTGCACTATATCCATATAATGTTACTAATACTTATAGAAAGAATTAAGAATAAAGCAGAAGAAACCAATACCTACAGCTGAGAAAGTGACTAGTGGCACAGTAGTTTTCCACTGCATATTAAATAAATACATGAGGCTAAATTTTGCTAATTCTCTAAATATATCACTGTACTTGTTGTGTTATACTTGTTTATAACTTGTTTATAGATGGATAGATAGGTAGATAGATAGATAGATATCTTCTTGTTATCCGATAGCAGAAATTTACTATTAATTTATTTAACCAAGATAGCTACTGACATTTTTTTTTTAAAAAGTAACTCAGTTTATAGGCCTATTCTGACATGAAATTTTATTTTAACATTCGTTCACTTTTTCATTGGCCATATGTGTGTGTTCCTATTGATGTAATCTAATGTTCATATATTTTTCATCTATAATTGTTGCCAAAAAGTCCAATAATAGACAAGAAGAAGAAATATGACACTGCCATACAGAAATGATGGAACAGAGTACATTTAAATGTCTCATGTCAGAGTGGTGGTGAGCAAATTCAGAGAGTGAACCTGAAAGGAAATGGACTCTAAAAGGAAAATGAGCAAGTTGACTTCATGGAGGGGGTGG